CACTTAAATGGAGCAGTGTGATTGAGGAACTCAACTTTTAGTTTTATTTTAATTACACTTCAATCTAAATGGCCACATGTGGGTGGTGGTACTGTATTGGACAGTGCCGCTGTAGAGAGATGTGGATGAGGACCATGGAAAGCAAAAGGGCTGCGTTTGTCAGCAGCCCTTCCTCCAGCTGAGGGTACTGAGGTGCTTCCTTCACTCTCTCCACGGGGAAGGCTCTCTTTGCGTCGAGGGAGAGCCAGTCAGTGGCTTCCATGGGCCAGAACAACGGCCTAACACCGAGGAGGGTGACTTCAGTTAGCATGAATTTCAAAATGGCGGAGGAACGGGCTGTTTGGAGTCCTTGAATGGCAGAAAACATCGAGTGATTCCACCCATCAACATATAATTGATGTCAAAACGTAGAGGACCAAGATTTCTTACCTGAGGTCATAAGAAATTAAATATTCTGCTAAAAAATGTTATCACATATATTAAAACAGGTTACTGATTTTCAAAGTTAGAATACGGGAAACTATAATCAGTGCTGAAACTAGGCTGTGATTCAAGACATTTTGTGACTTTCAGTGGCTGAGGGTTAAAATGAGCAGCAGGTTTAGAAGATTAAGCTCTAAATGCAGCAGTTGCTTTAAAAATAAATCCCGCATATTAACTTTTAACTTGCCATTTGTGGCTTTATCATAAAAGATGAAAGAAAAATACATAAAATTCCAGTTTTTTAAGCTTGCTGGTTGTTTAAATCCCAGGTAAATGGTGTTTACCTTAATAATGGCCTTTAATATACAAAGGTAACCTTACCATCACCATTATCAGGCCTGCTTATCTGAGCGTGGGAGTGGGTTTGTGATAATCCAATGATTTCTTCCATTCTTTTAAAATGAGGCATATTTTATTTATTTGGTTAGGGTCCAATCAACATAGCCAACTAGCGTTAGCCAGTTGTCTTTCAATGGATGTCAGGAAAGGACAAATTGCACTTCATTGAATGTTACCTGGAAAGACTGGTGCCGAGTTTTTGATCTTTGAAAATTAAAATCTCAATGCATGATTAGTTGATTGTCCCACTGTAATCTTAACGTAGAAGGTAATTTTTGACTAAGATGATGGGTACTCAAATACACTGCTTTTCAAGCTGACTTGTGAAGCCTCAGTTTGTTTTCTCATTTTCAATCTATGCAGACTAATAATTTTGCAAAATATAATAACAATGAAATGAAACAAAGTCATACAAAATACAAGGCCTAATTTATATTATAATATTATGTATATTCTATTCACCAGCTATACAGTTACTCTGTCAAATTGCTCTAAATATTTATGGTTATGCTCAATTTCTGTACTGTCCAGTCCAGTGATAGTCTGCAGCCCGTGAGTAGGTGGTACTGCTCTAACGTAATGCCTCTGTCACAGGACTTCATTCCTGACCATTCTGAGTGGAAAACACTACTTATATTACAGAGTCTAGTCTCACGATTGAAGGAAACAAAACCAGGTAATTTCTTGAAGGCCCTTGCTTGCTGACTTCCGATCTGGGCCGCGTGGGTCCATGCATGCTTGTGGCTTCCTTCCACGTACACAGGAAACAAGGTCTCTGGGCTCATGCTGGGCCACGGCACCTTTAGCTCTGTATTCTACCAGGGGCCTCCTGAGCTGCCAGGTTTTGATGGTTAGAGATATTGTCCTCCTCTCTTACGTTTGGCTTCAATGGAAGGGAGGAGGAGGAAACACTTAAATCGGGTGAAGCCCTAGGAAAGGTGTCCTAGCAGGTTCTTTGCCCTGCGAAGAAGACTTTCATTTTCCTGGATTTTAATCTCAAAACATCTTCAGTTACCCTTGGACTGTCGCCTTGGCCCATGACTCAGTTAAATACTGACTATACAACTCTTAACTACTTGGTGTTCCATTGTACACATTTCACCGTACGCATATTGATGGACTCCTGCTTAATGGTCCTTGCCACAGTATCTTGACCAATATTTCTCCTTAGCTCAGTATAAGACGTTTTGCACAAGCCATCAAACAGTCTTACTTCATTAGAGTTTGAATTTTATTTTATTTTTTTTGCAGGGCAGTAATAGGTAAGTTAATGTTGCTAAGAAAGCCATACAGAAATTTCTGTTTTTCTTTTGTTCCATCTGTTCAATTTTATCTTGAGTAATTTAGTGATTGTGGGTTCTACTTGGAATTGTCATATTTAAAAAAACTGCCATAAAGCAGTGTGGCTAATTTGCTCAATTAAAATATATTTCACAGTGGGAAGAAATAGCATGATTAATGGGTAACAATAACTTCTACTAGAAAAGAGATTTTATTTTTTTGTGAAGAAGTCTAAGCATAGCCCTAGCTGGTTTGGCTCAGTAGATTGAGCGTTGGCCTGCAGAGTGAAGGGTCCTGGGTTCGATTCTGGTCAGGGGCACATGCCTAGGTTGGGGGCTCGATCCCCAGTAGGGGATGTGCAGGAGGCAGTCGGCCAATGATTCTCTCATCATTGATGTTTCTATCTCTTTCTCCATCTCCCTTCCTCTCTAAAATCAATAAAATATTTTTTTGGGGGAAAAAAAGAAGTCTAAGAATATTATGGATTTATTTAATCTAATTGCATATCTAAATGTCTCAGGTTGTCTAAGCAAAGTAATCCTGTATAGGTTTTAGCTAACCTCTCTGTACAGATCCCCAGGTAAATTCCACCACAGGGCTACACACTAGATGACAAAGTCAAGGACGTGTTAGATATAAAGAACTTTCAAAACTGGGCAGGTGCTAACATAAACCATCATTCACAGACCAGAATAAAATAAACAGCACCTTTGCTTTAACCAGCCTCCCAATGAGAACATTTCCCCAAACACAGCCTTCTGCCTTCTGTTCCCCTCAGACCCACTTCTATGGTTTCACCATTCATATCCCAAGGTCAGTCCCACAACTCAAATATTTCTATTTTGCATTTCTCTCTCTGCCTCAAATTGACCTAAAATAAAACCAATCTCAAACCTTTGAGTTGGATGAGATCCTAGGGGACATCCAATTTTGACTTTAATGGCTAAATGAATAGCTTTTATAAAACTTGCAAGAGGGGGCTCTCTAATCTCTCTCCTTTAACAGCTCCAGCTCTAGGGAACTCCCCTCTCCCCATGGCTATTCTCAGTACCTTGTTCCAATTCTAAGTCTCTCTCCAGGTTTTCCCAGCCTGATATCCTCTTTCCAGTTTCCAAGCCCCTTCAGTCAGCACCATCTTATTTCTCCCCAAACCCTTCATTTCTAATCAGGTAGAGGGTGGATCAAGCCTAACATTTTTAATCGGCTCTCTCTCTAAGCCCTGTAATTCCTAGCACATAATATTGGTCATCAATAATTAATTGCTGACTAATTGATATTTTAAATCTATCAAGAGCTCAACCTTAGCAAATGAGGGTTTCTTGTGCTTCCTGAGATGTTTTTGACCAAATAGCCAGATGAGAATTATGTCATGTTAATCATCAATTAGAAATAAAGCTACAGTTCATTAGTAGATGAAGTGATAATTGTATAGCTTATGCATCATTTAAAGACTCCCTTGGAGAAGAAAGTGCTGTATGCAATTTTAAGTGATATTTCAGAGACATTTTGGTAAAATCTACCCAGTTCACAGCAGAGAGCTCATTCTTTTAAATTTCTCATATTTTTCTTATCCTCCACTATGCAGACCCAGTCTAGCTTTCCTGTTATACCAGTAATGATAGCATCTTAAAATTTCATTAAAGATGCAAAAGTTGAACCTTTGGCAGTCAATTCTGTTTGATTTACTTTTGAGATCACTTCAGTGGATGATGGAAATAGGAATACGTATTTTAGTTTTCTTTAAATACCCGAAGACAGAACTACACCTAAAGATCAGTGATGTACAGTTCAGTAAGGCCCAGATTCCTTTCTGACCCAAGACATAGCATTAGAGGGGAAAAACTCAGAGATGAGGAAATCACCGTTATTAAACCAAGTTTCTAAAAGCTGTGTTGCTGTGTAAAACCTGCTAAAAACAGCTGGATGGTTAAGTATCCACCTACGAACCAGGAGGTCATGGCTCCATTCCTGGTCCGGGCACAGTAGGGGGTGTGCAGGAGGCAGCCATCAATGATTCTCATCATTGATCTTTCTATCCCTTTCTCCCTCTCCCTTCCTCTCTGAAATCAATTAAAAAAATCTTATTAAAAAATATTTAAGGAAAAAACCCTGCTAACAGGAGGACTCATGCTGTTGTTTAGAACCTGAACTAGATAAACCCGTCAGAGTAGACTAATTCTCCTCGCCTCACACTCTAGTTAGAAACTCTTTCATTTCAGGGAATGCAGTGTTATTTGAGGACTGCTACTTCCCAGAGGATCCAGTGAGGTAGAAATGAATATAAAAAACAAGGAAGATTACTCTCTCCTGTTTAAAAATTTATAACCAATGAACTTCTAAAAGAATTAAACAGGCATTCGAACAAGTACATGTCCATGCGTGTTAATAGCAGCAGTGCTCACAAGAGCCAAAAGGTGGAAACAGCCCCAGGGTCCACCGACAGATAAATGGATACACAGATTGTGGCATAGCCAACGGAGTACTATTCAGCCACAGAAGGAACGGAGTACTGATCCTTGCTATGAGGTGGATGAACCTTAAAAACATTATGCTAAGTGAAATATGCCAGACACAAAATGTCACATTTCACATGATTCCATTTATAGGAAATCGTCAGAAATAGATAAACCCATAGAGACAGGATGTAGATTGGTGGTTGCCAGGGGCCACGGGGAGGAGGGAATGGGGAGCGACTGCTTAATGTAAGGAGCTTTCTTTTGGAATGATGGAAATGTTCTGGAACTAGATAGATATGGTGGTTGAACGACATGGCGATTATACTAAATGCCACTGAATTGTTCATTTTAAAATAGTTTAAAAAAAATAAAACCAGTGAACTCAAACCCTAAAACCATATTCTTGCCTTTAGAATACTCTCCACTGGGCTTGGCACTTACCTTGCACACCATGGCCGTCTTTGCTCCAAGCCTAGCAGCTTGGACACACTGATTGGCACCTTTCCCTCCAAAGCCAATAAAAAACTTATGTCCATGGATGGTTTCTCCGGTTTTTGGCAAACGAGGAGTAAGACTGTCATAATTTAAAAGGAAAAGGAAAAAAAACACACACATTGGTAACTGCAGTCAGTTTTAAGTTCTTCAGAAGAGAGAGGAAGGCTGTGTGGTGGAGCTCTAAGCAGTCAGAACCGCAGGCAGAAGCAGGGGAGGGAGAGGACCTTTCCTTTGAGACAACCTTCAGTAGTTTGCATCACTTTTGAGAATGCATCTGCCTGACGGGATTCCTCTCCCCCACTGCCCTGTGCTACCGTCGCCCCACTTCAGATGACAGCTCCTGGGGTCTGTACTGCATCAGGGCCGTTCAGGGGAGCCTGCTTTACATCTCGGGGAACTCTCAGAGGGAAGGAACTTCATATTCCTTCTCAATGCCCAGCACAGAGATTTACTCACAGTGGGCCAAGGTACTGTGTGCTTCTGTCCAGATTTATCTGGTTGCTTTAATAAGCAGGAAGGGACCTGGGATTTTGGTAATCATGTTCAGGACTTCAGGAGAAGAGTGAAGCTGCAATTCCAGGCGCTAAAGAATCTTATTTTCTTTGAGGGTGGGATAGGAGTGGGGTATTTGGATGGCAGTTCAGGGTTTCATCCTAATCCATCCTTTATATTACCCATTTCATGCACTGACTAAGAAAGAGCATCTATTTTAAAAAAGTGGATTAGAGCTAAGTTTAGTTTTACATTTTACTACAGAAAAATCCAAACACATAAAACTAGAGAAAATAGTATATTGATTTTTCCCTATACCCATCACCCAGATTCAACTATGTCAACTGTTAGCCAATGTTGTTTCAGTCTACACCTTCATCAACTTCAGGAACTAAGGATTTTTACTAACAGGTTATTACTGACACATTACTGCTTAAGGTAGTATTAAATGAGGCAAAAAGTACAAGGAAAAGGTTTGCTCCAGTATGTGGTTTTCCTAACAGTACAGGTGGAAGATGTGAGGAAACAAAGTCTTTGAAGGACAGAAGACTTTAAAATGGAAAAGGAGTTCTGGGTGGAGGGGCAAGTGAAGAAGATGGGCTCAGTGGCACGAGGACTGGGTGATTGGCCACAAAGAAGTGGGCCAAGGGCCAGATGGAGCAGATGGAGAGGTTTGACCAAAAAGGTTAATTAGCTTTAGGCAGGAAAGAAAGGCCAAGAGAGAAGTTTACCATGGTAAGTCAACCGAGAACCTACTTGTTTTAGCAGGTTAGAAATTTATGTTCATTTCCAATAGAGACTGTGGTCTATCCAAAACCAGTATCTTTTCCTATTAGAGTAATGAAACAATGCCAGTTCCTACAGGTCACTGACAGCCTGTTTGCAATGGGATGCCATATGACTATTGGCAGGAACGCATGATTATGTCAATAAAGACCAAGTTCGACCTGTGAACCTCCTTTATGTAGCTCTAAAAGTCTCAAACTGAGCCAAGCTACTCCATTCCCTAGCATTGCACTGTCAAATATGGTTATTTGAGATTCAAGAGATTCATCAATAATTTGAAAACATCCCACTCCACTCCTCCCCTTTTCAATTCTATTTTTATCTCGGATTCGAAACGCATTTATAGTACCGATGAAAAAAATATACATCTACAAGGTTCACTTCTGAAAAAGGCACTCAATCAAGGGAAAAATGGTTTTAATGTAACGTTATTATCCTGTCATTTAATTTAGCAATGACAAGTGATGATGAGATTTTGATTTGCATCAGAAATCTTAAACATTTTAGGATTCTGTTATGAACAGGCAATGATGAGTAATCTGTGTGATTGAGTAACTATGTGAATTCTTGGCTTATTGATGCTGCTATAAACAACATTCCTAACAACTTTAAAAAGAAAAACTATCCAATGTGGCAAAAAACAGGCCACATAATTTAATTAGTAAGACTGTCACTAAAGAAACGTATGACTTCCACTATATTTATACTTAGATCTGGGTCACAAGCCACTGGTTTGAATCAAATGTATTTATGATCAACTGTGGGAAACCATGAAAAAACTTATCACCCTATTATTATTGGGATATGCATGTATGTGGGGGAGAAGTGAAATCAGGTACAGTGTGTATGTGTTTGATGTGGGAGCAGATGGCTGGGATTTAAACAATGTATATTAACACAAGCACTGAACTGGTGTAGCCACTACTGGCATTCCTCACTCCTTGGAAATTCTTTTTTATCTTCTGCATCTTTGCCTTACTCTTCTCTTTCTTCTCCCAATTGTAGACTTTCTCTGCCTGAGAACAGTCTGTTCCCCATTAGACTTTCTCTGCCTGAGAACAGTCTGTTCCCCATTTTATTTCTAGTGCCTGGCACTTATATGGGGTTAATCTATTTGCTGAGTAGCAGAATATGCCACCCCAAAATATGACTGTAGGAGTTCAGGACACAACACCCCAAAATATGACTGTAGGAGTTCAGGACACACCACCCCAAAACATGCTGCCTTGGTATATAATTCTGAGCTGCAGGCACTTGAGAAACAGCAGATGCAGGCAGAGGCTTTCCCTGAACTTCCCTTCTCGGCCTATCACAGTCGTACCTCCCATGTCTTCCAAGGGCCCATTCACCTTTCTTAAAAGTTCTACCTCCCCCTCCCCTCCCCTATTAAATGCTACTTAATCCTGAATTTGAAGTCACCTTGGGGAGTTACTCATTTTTTCCTGGGTTCCCCCCATGTATAACGAGGGACACATGTTAATAAACTTCTGCTTTTCTCTTGTTGGTCTTTTATTACAGGGGTCTCGGTCAAAGAACTCAGAAGGGTGGAGGGAAAATTATCTTCCCTCTCCTACATATCTTGTCTATGTCTCCTTTGTGTAGTCTCCAGTCTTTCTTCTGAATTGAGGCCGTGGAGGTGCTGACCAATGGGAAGGAGGAGGAGATTGGCAGGGGTGACCAGTTGTCTGGCAATGATGGCAATTCCATGTTTTACCAGACCATGCCCACTGCATGCCCAGTATCAGCAGCGTTCCTCTTCTACAAGCAAGAACTCTAACTGGAACTCATACCATCATTCCTTCACTAATGCATCAACTCCAAAATGCAAAGTCAGTGTTTTCCAGTGTACTTCCTATAGGGCATAACCAGCTTGCCGACGATGAGGAAAAAGCTAACCACGATGCAAGTATCACAGAAGTTGAAAAAACAGGTCACAGAACAAGATTAGTATGATCCAATTCACATTTTTAAAAGGAAAAAAGATACACGTATATGGTCTCAGATGATAGGTAAAAGCATAGACAATGAAATGTTAATGACACGTATCCATGAGAAGGGTGGGGGTGGGGAGCAAGAAGAGGTCATGTTTACTTTATATCCTCATGCGCGGAAGTGGAAGCAATGAGAATAGAGTTGTGTGTTATGGGAGACCACTTCTTACTACCTCAGTCATCCGTCCTGCCTGCATCTGCTTCCAGCCACTGGTTCTTCCTGGGCTCCAGCTGGCTTCTTGCAGGTGCAGCCTAACAGTGCCACTCTGTCTACTCCGGGGTTTCTGGTTCCTCAGGCCGTCCTGCAGGATTGAGCAACTAGTTGTGCACAGGGGTGGCCAACGTGAACGTGTCAGGCATTTTTGTAAGGCTCTTCCCACTCCTCTGCTTCACTTTCCCTGTCCATCCCTGGCTCTTGCTCCCTGGGTCCGAGTCCTGAATAGAGTATTTGCGCTTACGCGTTTGTCTGATGCTCTGCTTTCTGTTGAACCCACACTAACACCGTTTATTCCTTGTTTATTTATTTTTTTATAGAAGTAAATAGAGTGGAGTGGAGAGCAACTAAAAAGTTAGTTACGAAAAAGGCAGAAGCATTTCCGAATTATAAATTCTAATTTACTTTAAATCAGGCTTTCCTATCTTTTTTCTTTAATGAAATCATGGAATTAAGTTCAGGTTCAAAGGAACTGCACAAAGCCTCATCCCCTGGATGAAAGCATTACTGTGATTCACCTCAATTCAAACATGAGGTTTAGCAAGGTGCCAAAGACAGACAAGCGACAGTGCACAAAGAAGAAATAAAAAGGAAGCAGTACTGGGAGAAATACAGTCTTGCTAGCATTTAATAATTTAACATAGTATAAATTTCTGAATGAGGGAGAAAACCCAAACAGAGAAAACCAGTCATAAGAATTATGCTTGAATTTTAAGACCTATTCGTAGCTTTAAAAAGGTCACCGCATTTTAAAATTGGGCAGAAGGAAACGCCGGTAATTGTTCATGGATGGCCCTCCGGTTTCCTGGGCCACCAGAGGCCGTGGGGTTAGCCTGGTTGTGCAAGGCAGGAGGCCCGGGCCTCTTACTGACTGTATTACCTTTGACAGCTTTTCCCTCTTTGAACCAGCTTCTTCTCTTGCAAAACAGGTTTAATAATACTTGTCAACTCCTTCAATTGCCCGGGTTTTGTGCTCTGAGTTATTTCACTGACAGGTGTTAGCAGAACAACTTATCATTGCTTTTAACTTCTTGACAATGATGTGCTTGTTACAGATTCTCCGAGATGATTCATAGCAGAGAAAGGAATGACCTGGTGAAATAGAGATGAGAAGGGTTTCGACCAAAAAGGTCACACTGATAACTGGCTCGGCCCAGAATCCGGGACTATGCTGCCTTTTGCATTCCATCCTTTCTTCTGGCTACAAGCTTCTGACACACCGTACAACTAGCATAAGGATCATACTCTTAGTTATGACCCAATTAAAATTCATTGCGCTCACTTATTATTCCTCCTGCCTGTGCTCTCCAGCCCTATCTGCTCTTCTCGCCACATTTACAAGGAGGAGGGTACTTTCCAAACCAAGTTAGTATCTCTTTCCACCTCTGTAAAAAGAACTTAGCCGCCCAACTGAAACTTCATTCCGTGCTTCCTAGCCCTAAATTTGCAGGCATATATATGATTTATTCAAGGAAGTGAAACATGAATTATGCTTGAAACAGTTGTTAACTGAAGTTTGATTTCTAGCCGATCTTTTCCTAGCTAACAAGTCTATGGCTGAAAAGTCATTTGTCTGAAGATGTAGCTACTCTTGAATTTATAGAAGAGAAAAACAATCCTCTAGCCAGAAGTGGCCAGCCTTTAAGAATGCCATATCCTTGACCCTTATTTATCTAAATTCTGCTTCTGTGTGAATAACTGGGCTAGGCACTTAGGAGAGCCAACAAGATGAGTATGTTATGTATGGTCTTCTCCCAGGGTATGGTCTTCTATGGCTTACTTTCATTCACATCTCCGCTCAAATGTTACCTCCTCAGAGAGGCCTGCCCAGCTACCTTATAGGAGATACCCCCTTTCTATTTTATCCTTTTCAATGTTTTAAAACTTGATTCCAGAGAGGAAGGGAGTGGGGGGGGGGGGGAGAGAAACATTAATGATGAGAGAATCATTGATTGGCTGCTTCCTGCATGCCCTCCACTGGGGATTGAGCCTGCAACCTGGGCATGTGCCCTGACCTGAATAGAACTGTGACCTCCTGGTTCCTATTTTAATTTCTATTAAGTATTTATTCATTCATTCTGGCAAGAAACACTAGGTTTCTGGATCAGAGACAGCCTTTTACTCATAATTGCATTAATTACTTCTCTGTCCCAATCCCAACAGGGTAACACGATGAGAGAAACCTCAAAATAATGAATTTTTGGAGTTTATATAGGACAGCTGACACAGCTGCTGCTCCTCCTTTCCACTGGGAAGGGGCAGGGGGAGGAGGGAGTGAGGGTGAAGAGGACCTACTGACCTTTGCTTTGTAATATAATGAAATCTTCTCAGGAGGTGGGGCAGGTCTCTAGGTTTACAACCTCTAGAATGTAAATAAATGTGTCCAGGGGAGAAATCTCTAAATCTCTCCAGGTCTCTGACTTCTGAGGTTTGTAAATTATACGGTTATGGACCACATTTTCCTGATTTTTTTGCATGACTAATGCTTTTTTTATTGGATGCTGAATATTGCAAATATTACATCGTTGAATATCTTAATTTGTGTTTTTCCAAAAGGTAGAACTTTTTTTTTCTCCCCCAGGCAGTTAAATAATTTGAAGATCTGATTCTTCTGAGGATAGTTTTGAGATTTGTTAAGGTGAGTTTAGGGTAGCCTTTAGGGCAGTTCACCCTTCTACTAAGTTGTGGATTTTCTGGGATTTTTACGGAATGCTCTCTGGCTAGTTAGAACTCAGCACCTCCCATTCCTGTATGATTTCTGGGAAATGTTCAGCTTAGAACTCTCCAGTTGCCCAGCTTTGTGGAGTTTCTATGTATTTCCATTTAGTATTTAGTAATAGACTTAAGGGGACTCCTTTGCAGACTTCTGGACCTTTCCCTGATTAGCTCCTTCCTCTCCGGTACACGTTCCCATAAATTCTAGCCACCTGAGTCTCCTTAAGCTATAAACTTAGTTTCCTCAACTCACGGATACTGCCATGATTTCCTTGAGTTCTTCCTCTCTGGGCCAATAATGAGCCTCCTGGAACCACCTTATTTGTTTTCTTTCTCTTCTGGATAACACACCAGCTGTTCAACAGATGAAACGGCTGCTTCATATATTTTGTTTCATATATGTCCCATTTTCTAGTTGTTTATGGTGGGAAGGTAGGTCTGGTACTAGTTACTCCAACATGGTAAGAATTAAATATTTTTTGAATGAATGGTCTATACTTCAAAAGACACTCATATAGATAGTTGGGATGATAGATGCCTATGTACATAAGTCATATGGTGAGGGGAGGCAGGGCAACTATAGCCCAAGGAGAAAAGTAAACCAGTTATTAAACATGAATATGGTCAGAATAATGGGGACAATAAGTGTCCACATCTTTCTTCATTCTTAAAATGTGGGATAAAGGATTGAGTACAGAAGGCGTCAGGAGAGGCTTATAGGTCAAAATATTAAAGATATATTTAAAAATGAAAATATATCTTTATATAATTTTTTGAAAAAAAAATTTACTCCCAGCTGAGAAAAGTCCCAAGAAAAAATAGAAACTTGGAAGGAAGGTACAGAGGAGCTAATTTTGGAACTAGAAGCTACAAAAGGAGAGGGTAGGAGAAATATATATGTGTATATGGGGGTTCAGGGAGTGAGGACTGGACAACTATAGGATGGCATATAAGGTATGTGGAAAAATCAGGATGCAGAAAAATAGAGCAGAAAGGGAACTGGTGAGACTAAAGCATTTATTGAAGTTCTGATGAAAAAAACCTTTTAATTCATTGAAGACAAAGTATGAAGCGACAACTACAAAATTGATATTTTATTTTCTGTTTTGCCAATTAATTTTAGTAATTTTTAAATTCCAAAATGACTTCTGTCACCATGCTGTAATTATCTAGGCTACTTCTTCCTGCCATCTGCTGGTATAGGGTAAAGAAATACAAATGGAATTAATTTTATCCTAAGTAAAATAAAATTAGAAGGATAAATCAGCATACAAAAATGTTTCCTGGAACCAATTAATACAAATTTTAATTTATCTACTATTTTTGGGTTTTGGTGCTTATGCTTCTTTCGCATTCCCATCATCGTGAATATCAAGAACTCATTATATTATATTTGAGCTTCACAAAACATTTGTAAGATGTGTTAGCGTAAGTCTTATCATCTCTGTTTTAGGGAGAAAGTGAGAATTCAAAATAGTAATGGTTTATCAAAATGCACGTATCTGTTAGGTTGTCTAATTTTAATTCAGGTCCAATAGATTCCATTGCTATGGTCTTTTAAACCATACTATGCTACTTGGCTTTGACAATCAGCTTTCTCTCAACTTTTAAAAATGATCTACCTTCTTAGCAACTTTCAAATATGCAATACAGTATTATTAACTCTAGTCACCTTGCGGTACAGTACATCCCACGACACTTACTGGAAGTTATAAAGTAGTACTTTTTCACCCCCTCTTACCTATTTTTGCCCACTTTCCCACCACCTGTCTCTGGCAACCACCAATCTGTTCTCTATGTCAATGACCTTGTTTTGTTTAGATTCCCATATAAGTGAGATCATGTTATTAGTCTTTCTCTGTCTGACGTATTTCACTTATCATAATGCCCTCAAAGTCCACCATGTTATTGCAAATGGCAAGATTTCCTTTTTATAATATTCCATTGTGTGTGTGCATCACATTTTCTTTATCCATCTATCTGTCCGTCCGCCCATCCACCCATTCATGGATGCTTAGGTTGTTTTCATATCTTGGTTACTGTAAGTAATGTTGCAATGAACATAGGGGTGAAGGTATCTTTTTCAGTTAGTGTTTTTGTTTTCTTTGGATAAATACCCAGAGAGGAATTGCTGGAAATATGGTAGTTCTACTTTTAATTTTTTGAGGAACCTCCATATTGTTTTCCACAGTGGCTGCACTAATTTACATTCCCACCAACAGTGCACAGGGTTCCCTTTTCCCCACATCCTCACCAACACATATTATATTTTGTCTTTCTGATAATCATTCTAACAGATCTGGCATAATACCACATTGTGGTTTTGATTTACATTCCCCTGATGATTACTGATGTTGGCATCTTTTCATGTACCTTTTGGCCATCTGTATGTCTTCTTTGGAAAAATGTCTCTTCAGATTGTATGCCCATTTTTAAAATCAGATTGTTTGCATTTTTTTTTTTTGCTATTGAGTTGTATTCTTAATATATTTTGGATTTTTTTCCTCTCAATTTTGACTATAATGTTGGACAGGCAGTAGATATAACAGATAAATACTTAACATTATTAATATGAGCAAACTGTATTAAAAATGACCTATATAATTCATTCCATTCCTCGGCTCCTTTGGCTGTGATACTAAGTGATGTGACAAGGGAGAGAGTGGCAGCGTCCACTAACTGTCATAATAGATTAGTGCTCATTCTTTAAAATCTTATTAGTATTTCAAACCTCTTTTCATAGCCGATTCCCTATGCCTGGGAAGTTCTTTCCCTGTTTCTGTGCTGAGCTTATCCATATGCATCCTTTAAAATTCAACTCAGATGTTACTCCTCTGGGAGTCCGAATCTAACAGTGTGGGTGGTTGCCCTGCCTCTGCGTTCCAGCGATCTATGCATGTTTCTCTCATAGCTGTATCACATTCATTTCTGTAACACTATGGCCTAAGACTGTGCCTATTCACATCATGTGCCCAATAAACATTTATTAAAATATATAATACATTAATAGTGCCAGATACCATTTCGTGAGTGGTTATCATAAGATAAATACTGCACTAAGCACTTTATGACCACAAAATCACTTAATCCTTACAATCATCCCATGAAAAAATTGTTCTTATTTTGATCTCCATTTCACAGATAAGGAAAATGAAAATTAGATTAAAAAAACATACCCAAATTCACCCAGTAGAAGATGGCAGAGCCAGGATTCAAACCAAGGTTGGTCTGACTCCAAAACCCATTAAAATATATTGTTCACAAATGTCCTTAAAGCTCCTTGGACCCATCTATATTTCATGTTTTTGTAATTTCTTGTGTAATTTCTGGTAGCTATGCTTCTGAAGAATACTGGAGTTGTGCAAGCTGAACCAAGA